AATGCAAAGAATCTTGCCATAAATTACACAGAATGAGCATTGTCTGTGATGAATCACCATCTCAAAGATATTGTAAGGACCCAAACAACTGCAATAACAACACTTGCATTGATATAGACCCCTTCACGCGGGGTAGGATCTCGGAGCGTTGTTTTAGGATACAGGGCGATATGAATGGTGTCAACAGAGAGGTTCCCAACAACAACGATTTGGGGAGAGGAGAGGAAGGATCACCACCTGTTATCCACACTCCTTAATACCTTCAATTCTCCAAATATCCATCCATCTTGTCTATTTGTCTTTTCTCCATAGTCTTCTGGGACAATGTGCTCCACATTCTCCCACAGCTCTGATATAAAAATCATTCTGTGATAAATTAGGAATCTCTGTAGGTAAGGAAAGCTTGAAGTTCAGGAAACGCTCATCTATTATTCTATACATAAACCACGTGAACCTTTGATTTCATTAAATTAAATCCTGGCCTGTAACTCTTCCTTATCTGTGACCCTAGATACTGTATATACACACACCACCCAAATCCTTCTATTAGATTTGGAATGGAAGCTCACTCCAACAATCCATTAAATTGTGTTATTATGAGTGTATTTAAGTAAAACATTTCCCAAGGCCTGGCTTATAATTGCTTTACTGTTAGGAAATTGAATTATTCTGATACAGTTCTGAGTGCTTTATCAATCTGTTGGCAATAAATACTTGGTGACCAAACCATGACATGTTACTGATTAAAAAAATATTTCCCAACGTTGTGGAAAATGTGTCCCCGGGTTTGCTAATAGCATTCTTCCCTCAAACACTGGTTTAATATATTCAGGAATAATGAAATAATAGTAAACCGTGCGTTTGGTATCATGTCTCAAAGCGCCGCACAAGGGATTGCTGTAAAGTGTAGTGACTGTGTATTTTCTAGGCGATAGCAGCAGCCAATTTGCGCATAGCAACGTCCCCATAAACAGCTGTCAACATGCCCCATGAGCAGCCAAGTGAGCTGAAATTGGGAGAAACTCCCTTCTCAAATGGCATTGTTGGATCTTTATCGTGTACCTGAACAGGAACAGACACAGCAGGAGCTTGGTTTAATGTCTGGTTTGAAGGACAATGACAATCAGCCTAACCTGCGAGCTCAAAGTCTATGAATATGGTACTAGCAGTTGGGAAACCATATATAATCTTCCTCTGCCTCTCCGCCCTTGCCCCTTCATTCCTCTTCGACCGTACCTATGGTCACCTCCCACCCCCCACCGGCTTGGCATCGTGCTCTGCCACTGTCAAGCGCTCTATATAAACACACGTTGTTGTTATAGTAGTAGCTGGTGGTCAGTGTGGCTATAAACTGGTTGTTACAATTTCAGAACAAGGAATCCCTCCATCATGGCCGTCATTACGAGAGTTTGAAGATGGCCAACACTGGGGGTTGGAGCTCTAACCCAACAGCACAGTGTGAGATGCCTGGCTCTGCCAGCGAGCTGTGTGCAATGCCATCGTTGTTGGTGTGACATCAGTGGGCAATCGAATGGCAGACTAGCAGATGGCAAAGCACGTCAGAGCCCCACGCCACCCTGACCACCTTCCAATGCCGTATGTCGCTGGTGAGGGCGGCAGTCTCGGGTTTTTAAAGAGATAAAGATCTGCACGTGAACCTTTAATTTCTGCAGAAAGCCTAGGATAGCAACAAGGACAAGCTACATTACACCAGGCATTTTCTCCATCTCAGAGACCCTAAACTCCCCATAGTCTTTGCCTTAAGACAATTGTCTTAAAATTTAAAACCCTGCAGAATTTTTGGAAGATTCTGATTCTATAAATTGATTTTTTCCCATTCTTGAAAAAGGAGTTAGAGGAATTACTGAAGTGCCGGGGGTTAAAAAAAACAATCATCGCATTTTCTGCTACAAACTATACAGTGAGACTAGACTGTGAGCTCAAATTCCTGACGTGGGGGCTCCAACCCATAATTTATTGCCTCGAAGGCCACATGCTACCAACAGCCAGGCGTGTTCTTTCACACGTCTAATTAGAACTGAGAACAGAACCGCTGAATGGGAGAGAATGTGATTTATAGGATTGCGAAGGACTAGTAGGCAGGAAAAGACCAAAACTGTTTTGATCTCATCCTAAAAAAAACCTGGCGAGAGAGGAAGGGGCTGAATGACCTCTTTCCTCCAATATCAGGTCCAAATCCCTGGCTGGCCAACGCTCTGGGATGTCCTCCTGACGTGAAAGGCGCTGAGTAAATATCATTTGTTGTTGTTGTCATTCCCTTTCACTGCTGTGTTCACATCGTGCAAGTGTGAACATTTTCAGAGGAAGGGATGGAAATTTAAAAGCGCACTTGTCAATTACATTTGTTTTACTTTGAAAATGAAAGTTAATCTACTTATGAAGGAGAACAAACTGTTCCATAAAGCTCTGTCATGCATTAGTTGAGTCTAATCCCTCACATTTGTTGCTGCTTCTCTGTTAATTGCACCAGCTACATCAGTAAGAGACATGACACGACAAGGAAAATGATCAACTCGTAACAGTGCCTTTGATACTGGATCAAGCAGTAACCGTAAAGTCGTCTTGGCCATTGAGTCCTCATCATACACCATCCCCCAGAAAACACAGTGACTACACTCTGCAATAAATACTGTGGAGCGCTTTAGGACATTTATTAATTACAAGAATTATAACTTTTTAAATCCCATTCCCTCTGTAGTTTCACCATATGCTTTAATATTCCTACTTGCCAAGTATCTCTCTCTCTCTCTCGCTCTCTCACGCACACACACAATGTAATTTGTTGTTGTTGATTGGTTCAATGGAAGAAACTCCCTTCTCTTTAGAAATGGCATCACAAAATATTCAATATCACATCTGTACAGGCAAACGGGATCTCAATCTCGCCTCAAAGAGAACAACTTGAATGACCAGCACTGCATGAGGTTGTCAGCGTAGAACACGAGCTCAAGCTCTGATGTGGAGCTAGAATCAATAACCATCTGACCCAGAGATTTTTTCTTGGAAGCTTTACTTCCAGCTGAATTCAAATGAAGTTTCTGATCCCTTCAGATTGAGGCACTGCTGACAGGTTGAGAATCTCCAACGCTTATAATTATAATCCTTATGTCTGATATACAATCACGCCTTTCACATCAGGAGGTCGTCTCAAAGCAAATAGTGCAAAGTGTCGTGATTGTGCATTTTGTAGCTGAATGCAGCAGTTAATTGATGCACAACAATGTCCCACAAACAGCCACGTAGCGAATGACCAATTTTTTTTATTGGGGAGGAGGGATTGTTGGCCAGGACACTGGGAAAACTTCTTAGAAATAGCACTGTAGGATCTTTAATAACCAACAGAAAAGGCTGTCGGTTCCTCGGTTTAACGTCTCATCTGAAGGACGGCACCTCCAACACTGAAGCGCTCACCACCCCCTTCCCCCCACCCTCCAATAGGGAGCTCGAGCTCATAACCTTCTGACTAAAAGAGCAAAGATTGCCTTAGATATGATATGTTTTTGACACAAAGGATTATTTGGACTTGGAGGAATGCCTTACCCAGAGTGGTGGAAGTATAAGTAGAATCCGTATGAGCTTTTAAGAGGGAATTGGTAAAATATTTAAGAAGGAGTAATATAGAAGAAGGTGAAAATGCGGGAGGCTGGGAATATATCTGAGGTCCATTTGACCCTGAGCTCAGTTTGGTTTCAATGGTTCACTTGTGCTCACAGGGTACATTTTGTGATCTTTCATTAGCTCTCTCATGTCAACCCTTGCCCTCACCCCTCTGCCCTCTATAAATAATCAGCTCTTGCCTTTACAGCTTCCAAATCCCTAAGTATTTAAGTTCCTATTTCACCATCAATCTTCAGGCCGGAGGCAGGTACTCAATGGAGATCGTTTGAGGTTCTGTCTTGCGAATGGTGAATTGGAACAGAGCGCTGGCGGCTTGGGGATTTTCTGGCCTATTCCCGGAAGGTGAAATCAGCGGATTAGCTCCAAGCCTGAAATTATTAATGACTCCGTGGCCTCACAAGGACTTTCTCTAAGTTTTTATTGAGTGACTTTCTCCCTAATTACCTCATTCAATGCTTTTAGGCTAAGAGAAAGGCATGCTTCATGCCCTGCTTTGGAGCCAGATTATCAGTCTGTGTATTAAAGTTTAATTACGGGTATTAATTACATTAATTTCTTTGAGCTAGCACCAGAAAAACACCTCAGGAAAAGATAGTCTGAAAACGTTTTGTCTAGTCGCAATTTCCTGCATTTTCGCTGTATGGTTTTATGTCAAACATTTGTGTAATTTCATTTTAAAGGCTCCTCCTATGGATTCTACCTCAACAATCACTCTCGGTAGGGCTTTCCATTGTCCCGTTGTGTGCCATCCTGTCTCAGTTGGTAGCAAAGTTGTGTCAGAAGGTTGTAGGTTCAAAAGAGAAGGAAGTTTGTTTCCTGTCCAACAATCCCTCAACTAACAATTGTTCATTTTATTGTGTGGCTGTTAGCGGGACATTACTGTGTCTAATTGGCTGCCATGTTCCTCTACAAAATACACGGTCATTAAATGTTAATCCTGTCAAGCACTTTGAGACGTCCTTCTAATGTGAATGGTGATATATCAAATGCAATTTTTTTTACGTTTGGTGAAAAAACAATCCTAACTTCTCCCTTTTCTCTTTTGGTAATTATCTTAATTCTATTCTCGACCCGTGGACATTTTTTTTGTGACTATTTACATTTTGAACTATTAAGAGAAACTCTCTTACAACTTTATGTAACTCGGTTTACAATAGATTACCGTTGTAGCAATTTTCCGAGATCAACTTGAGACCAATTTGAGGTGATCTACCTCCATGGACAGATATAGCTGAACTCTCAAAATAACATAACAAATTACCTTCTTATGTTACATACAAACACTGTGGTTTATATAGAATTACTCTATTTCAGGTTTGAGTATCGGAGTGAGATTCTGCTTGGTCTGAATCCACTCTGTGATGGCCGGAGATTCCAGTCTTCATGGACAAAAACATGGAGATCGTTGCGACCACCAAACACACCAAAACCCCACACAAACCATCTCGCGACAAGGTCCTAGCGACTGACCGGACTCAGCTGCTGGCCAAACCCAAGAAACCCCGGCAGCGGTATGTGGAGAAGGATGGAAAGTGTAATGTCCATCATGGAAACGTTCAGGAAACCTACAGATACTTTAGTGACCTCTTTACCACCTTAGTGGACCTCAAATGGAGGTTCAACCTCCTCATCTTCACTCTGGTCTTCACTATTACTTGGCTCTTCTTTGGCTTCATATGGTGGCTGATAGCCTACATCCGAGGAGATCTCGACCACTTGGGAGATGAAGAGTGGATACCCTGCGTCAGGAACTTGAATGGGTTTGTGTCGGCCTTTTTGTTTTCCATAGAGACTGAAACGACCATTGGGTACGGTCACCGGGTCATCACTGAGAAGTGTCCAGAAGGAATTATTTTGTTGTTGATCCAAGCGATTCTGGGGTCCATCGTCAATGCTCTGATGGTGGGCTGTATGTTCGTCAAGATTTCCCAGCCAAAGAAGAGGGCAGAAACACTGATGTTCTCCCAGAGAGCCGTCATCTCTCTCCGGGATGAGAAGCTGTGTCTGATGTTTCGAGTGGGAGATCTGCGTAATTCGCACATCGTGGAGGCCTCGATCCGGGCCAAACTGATCAAATCCAAACAGACCAAAGAAGGGGAGTTCATCCCGCTCAACCAGACCGACATCAACGTGGGCTTCGACACTGGGGATGACCGGCTGTTTCTCGTCTCTCCTCTCATCATTTCCCACGAGATCAACGAGAAGAGCCCCTTCTGGGAGATGAGTCGCAGTGAGTTGGAGCAGGAGGAGTTTGAGATTGTGGTGATCCTGGAGGGAATGGTGGAAGCCACAGGTACAACACCACCACCTTAATAATAATCATAATAATCCTTACATTTGATATAGCGGTTTTCATGTCTTCTTGACGTCTCAAAGCGCTTCACAGAACATACTGTAAAGTGAATTGACTCTGTATATGTGGATGAACCTTGCATTTAATGAAGAGCCCTTCAATTGGGGTAGTGTCTCAGAGTGCTTAACAATGACCTAGGTGCGGAGAAAAGGGATGTGACCATTGGCAAGGTCAAAGAGGAAAGTACAATGTACAAGGCTTTATCTCATGTGCCTGGGGAAAGTACCAAACGCGAGGATTATTATTATTACTATAGATTGGGAGGTAGTGTGACCCATGCCGGAGGAGTTATTGCAGCTTAGAATCATTATTCAGTGAATAACTTATTCCAAGCACAAAGAAGTTTGTAAACAACTAGAAGATGGAACTGCCTGAAAGGGTGGTGGAAGCAGATTTAATAGGGAATTGGATAGGTACCTAAAAAGGAAAAGTGTGCAGGGCTTTGGGGTAAGAGCGGGAATAGTTGGTAGCTCTTTCAAAGAGCTGGCAAGGCATGACTGGCCGAATGGCTTCCTTCTGTGCTGTAAGATTCTAGGATTCTATGAAGATCACTTTGTGCCTCCTGACCTCGAGAGTCTGAGAGGTGCAGTGTGGACAGTTCCACATCCATTGTGCTGTGCATCAATAAGCTAATGGAGCTTGTGAGTGGGTGATGTTAACTGTTATTGACTTGTGTCTCAACAGGATTTGGAACCATTTCTGTATTTATGGCAGTGCAGAGAGATATCAGCCTCTCCTTAAGGTTTCCTGCTAATTCTCCTCTCCAGTGCTGTGCTACCCTTGTGCTCCCACAGTTCCCATCTCAAACTAATTATTGAATTCTAATTAAAACTCCGTCAACGTGATTAATTCTCTGTGACCTGGTTCAATGAGATCTCTGTGTGATTAACAAAATGAACGCTACAGTTAATAGGGTTCACTCGAGGTAGAATCTCATTCCAGTTGTCTGAAGAGAAAGAGATTACAATAAACATCAGTAACACAATCATTGGCATCTGGCAAGCATGGCTCAAGTTAGAGCCCAGCCACTTGTGAATTGAGCAGTAAGGAGTAGGCCGTTAGTTAGCTCAGTGACCAGACCCCTTTCACTGTGTGAAGTCATTAGGCTGACTACTAAGAACAAGGACCAAACCCAACACAAGAATCAAACTGATCTTCTTATCTTCATTGTAACCTGAACCCTACCAACCCCGTCACTCACTTTGCTCAGTGAACACTGGCCTGCTTCACGTCCCCGCTCCATCCTCCTTTGTCAACCAATCTGCTCTCTGGGAGTCTCTCCGACTGGCACCCTCCCACATTCAAAGCTCGCTTCCAGACTTACTCCTTTGACAGCGCTTTTGGTAACATTTCCTCCTCCCCCCTTCCCGTGTCCCTTATACAGCTCGGATGTCCAGCCAATGAAACTACAACAAACTAGTGTGTGAAGTGCTTTGAGATGTTCTCCCGACGTGACACTGTGTAAAGGTAAAGCCTATTGTATTGATGTCTCTCTGGGCAGGAATGACGTGCCAGGCCAGGAGCTCCTACTCAGATAAGGAGGTGCTGTGGGGCTACCGCTTTAACCCTGTGCTGACGCTGGAGAAGGATTTTTACGAGGTGGATTACAACAGCTTTCACCAGACGTATGAGACCAACACCCCAACCTCCAGCGCCAAGGAGCTGACCCAAGCGTACAGGAAGGGCGCCATGCAGCCCAAGGCATCCTGTGCCACCCTCAGCAAGTGCATCGAGGCGGAGCCTAGCAACGACACCGAAGAGGAGGAGCAACTGAGCACGTGCGGCCACGCGGGCAACACGGAGGAGGTGGCATTGCCCTCGGCGACCAAGGACTCGGATTACTGCACGGGATTCTTGCCGCAGTTTATCGAGGGGCTGGAAGATTTACAGGGAACCTAGAGCACAGACACGCTATATTTGGTGGTGGTGGAGGGTGTGGGGGGATTCGGGGGGGTCTCTCTATCACTTTCACCCTCACTCTGTAAATTATATTGCAACTCGTAGGCGTTCACCTACAAAAACACAGTCATTACACTTTACAGTAAATCCTGTGAATCACTTTGAGACGTTAGAACGAGGTGATATAGTGTTACATCAAATGCAAGGATTATTATTATTATCTACACCCTAGGTAGCTTTAAATTTAGAAGCGGGATGTGATAACTATGAGATGAAAGTGAGCTGAGCTGAGTCCTTTGTGCGTCAGGAGATCATTTCAGTGGATTTTAAGAGGATCCTTCATGGTGGACAGCTCCCTAATTGGTTTTTTTGAACCTATTCTGCCCCACTGTACGACTGTAATAAAACCTAATTTCCCAGTTGCTGGGGAGAGGAAAGTGATCATTATTAACACCTTCCCGTCTGAAAGTCCCAATTCTGCCCAAAATGAAATGAACTAAATAAGTTCCTGGCTCCCGATATTTTGTTCCCTTTAATTGCATATTTCCTTGGGGATAAATAAATCTAAACCTGGTCACTTGCTCTTCTCTTTGTCTCAACTTGTGCTGGTTATACAGATCCTCCCTCCCCCCCCACTCCAGTATGTATCAGAGTGAGTTAAATCACATTAAAATATATGGGGAAAAGGCAGATAGTTCCACTGGACACCAGCACAGACACAATGGGGGAAAGAGCAGGGAATGGGATTAGCGTAGAGAGGTACAATGAGCTGATTGACCTCCTTCCACACTGTATGGCTATTGGCATGGACAAGGCAGTGCAGCTTGCTTCTCCACAAATACACAGTCACTACGCTTCACAGATAAACTCTCCGAGATGTTTTGACGTGATATGGTGCTGTATAACATGCAAGGATTATTAAGGTGCAACCAATATAATTGCAAAAGTTATTCTCACATCTGAGCAGAACTTGCTCCAAGTCGCTAACCTGAGTGAAGGCTGCTATATAAATGCGAGTTGTTGCTTTTGCTGTTCAGCGTTCCCAACAGCCAAAGGAGGAATAAACTCCCGACACGTGTAGAGGCTCGTTTTGTTGATAAACTTGTAACAAACGGTCACTACATGAAGCTCACAATCAATGTTACCCTATTTATCCTCTTAATAAATTGCATGTTTCGGTAGCAGATGAAACATTGGCAGTGACAGCTGTAGCCGCCAGCGACACAGCTGCTATCAGAAGACATCTTACATCTGATGGTTGATGAACATTGCCCTAATGATTCGGAATCCTTTCCCCGGCTCCACCCACACTCAAGGGCTCTACAGCTCAGATCTTCCAGACCCGAAATTCCACCTTGTCTTAGCCTGTGAGACCATTTTATCTTTGAGATGTCCTCCCGACGTGAGAGGCACTTTGTATCTGTAAGTTGTTTGTATTGTGTATCTAATTCTGTAGTTGAAGCCATTAACAATCCTTGCAATTTACATTATCACATGGTTGAGTTGTCTTAAAGCGTTTCACAGGAATTACAGTAAGCCGCCTGGTAGATCACATGTCCCATCTCAAACATTTGCCAAAAAAAGCTGACATCGTATTATATACAATGCAAATGAGGAGTAAAATGCGCTGCCACATTTTTAATTTCAATGAAGGGTAAAATTATTGGTGATTGGAGGCAGGAGAGCTTTAGGTACCCAGTCTCACAATTTTGCAATTTTCAAAATTGCAATTTTCTGCTTGAAAGCGGCTGGTGAATATATCGCTGAGTGAGCTATTAAGGCACAAAGTTGATTTGGAATCAATTAAATAGGCTGGTTTGGAGGATCAACCGAACTGGTGTCTGAACTGGCAAAAGTACCAGAGGAGAGATAAGGAGACAATTCTTTTTTACTCAGATAGAACTTACGGTCTGTAACGCACTGCCTGAAGGAATGGTGGAAGCAGATTCGATAACAGTTTTCAAAAGGGAATTGGATAGGTACTTAAAAAGGAAATTTTTACAGGGCTGTAAGGTAAGAGCGAGGGAGGGCGATTAGTTGGATAGCTCTTTCAAACAGGTCCTCTCGTTTGTAAGGCGAGTGTTCTAACCACTAAGCTACAGGACTTTACAGCAAAGGCAAGCTGTTCTTAATAACCTGCATGTTATCTGCATCATGTTGAAAAGTACAAAAGAGAATAAGGTGGTATTAATTTCAGTTAACACCGCAAGGTTTCCATTAATACCGGTAAAGGCTTACCTTGGGACATCAGGTTTTCACTTATGACCCAGAAGGTTACGCGGGGACCTGATAGAGATCTTCAAGATCATGAAAGGTTTCGATAGGCGAGATAGGGAAAAGCTGTTTCCGCTGGTAGGTGTCTCTGTGACTCGTGGCCATGGTCTTCAGATATCTACCAAAAGAAGCAGAGGGGAGGTTAGAAGAAATGTTTTCACTCAGCGAGTTGTTAGAATTTGGAACGATCTGCCCGAAAGGGCAGTGAAGTCCGATTCGATAACAGCTTTTAAGAGAGAACTGGATAGGTATCGGGGGAAGACAGGTTTGCAGGGTTATGGGGAGAAAGCTGGTGAGTGGGGTTAATAAAAGTCAGTTGCTCTGTCAAAGAGTCAGCACAGACTCGATGGGCCGAATGGCCTCCTTCTGTGCCGTAAAACATTCTATGATTCTATGTCTTTCTTGACTGAAAATTTTCAGTGAATGATCATTCATTTCTACAAGCCCTTCCCCCTCCCTCCCCACACCACTTCATTGGATAATAAAAAAAACCTTGCATTTGATATAGCCTCTTATCACATCTTCAAGACATCTCAAAGTGCTTCACAGAATATACTGTAAAGTGAATTGACTGTTTTGTGGGCAAAACGCAGCAGCCAATTGTGCACAGCAGCGCCCCACAAACACATTGAGTGACCAATTTATTCTTATTTTTTTGAAGGAGTTATTATCCCCTAAAATGCAATCGCACCAACCAACCAACAACCGGGTTCCTGCTTACTGCTAGGTAAACAGAGACGTGTGGAGTAAGGAAACTTGCCCAATGTTTTGCCGCAACTGGGAAACGAACCCAGGTCTCTCGCTTGCGAGGCAAGTGCTCTAATCGCTGAGCTGCGCAACTCCACATCTGATAAACATGTTTACCATTTCCTGTTACAATCTGCATCACCTTCTATTTATCCGTATTAAACCACATCTGCCAAGTTTTTGACCATCTGTTTAAGTGCTCTGATCATTTTGTACAATTATTCACTTGACCGCGCAGTTTGGTATCATCCGCAAATTTTGTATTGCAACCTAGTCCAGCCCATTGTGTCCTGAGCTGCCCAATGGAGCTCTGTACGTTAATCTCATTCGTCTATACTTTCTCTTTAGGAATAACAATCCTTGTATTTTAGATAGTGACTTATCACATCGCTGAGACATCTCAAAGCTCTTCACAGAATATGCCAATTGATTTACTGTATTTTGTGGGCGAATCGCAGCCAATTGCAAACAAGTGTCCACAAACAGTCGTGGATTGAGTGATCGAATGTATTAGTGCCAACCCATGGAGCAGTATTGTGTGTGTGGTGACATGAGTGCCCATGTGCTGGCTGGCTCTATATGCCTTGTGCATGTGCTGGTGAAGCCATCTGCTCAGAGTTGGCATCAAAGTGCTCAAGGACAGGGCACTAAACCATTATAAGACCCCCAGAGTTGTTCCCTGCAACTCTGTTCCAACATTTGTTTGGAATCAGGTTGCAAATAGCAACTCATCCGAGAGCTAACAGCTGTAAACGTTTTTGCGGGGGAAGCCACATCTCAGTGTCAAGCCTGTCCCCACTGAAAACCAACTGCTCATCCAGTGTATAGTGCTCAGACTGTGGCAAACTCTAGAAGTGTCCGAGCTATTTATCCCCCGTGTTTCACAGTTCCTCCGCGCAATCATAACCCTTGCCTTTGAGCAGAACGGGTGCTGCATCATCAGAAGAAAAGGGAGTTTCTCCTGGTGTCCTTGCTGACAGATTTCCCCCAGATACAAAAATCGCTCATTCATTTCACGGCTGTTTGCTGTGTGCGAATTGTCTGTCAAGTTCTCCAACAAAACGCTATTCTATACAGTGAACTGAGTTTCAGGTATCCTCCCAATATGAAAGGTGCCGTGTCAAATGTAAGGATTATTATTGTTGTCATTATTTTTAGAGTAGAAAATGTGATTTGTTTTCAGATCCAAATGGCAAACTCTGAGAAAACAGTGCTTATCATGCGTCGATGTCTAGATACGGCATCATTGTAAACAAACCATCTATTTTGTCCCCTGCGCTCACAACTCTGTTACCCACAGAGGATGAAAGGAAGACGAGAGTGAGAGAGACAAACAAGATTGAAGGGGTGCAAATTCAGAACAAATCTGCAGGAACACTATTTCAGTGAGCGAGTAGTAAACATATGGAACAGGTTCCCCAGAGAGTTAAATGGTGGAAGCAGAAAATGTCTTTTGTTTCAAGAACAAATTAGATAGATTTCTACTAGAAAATAATATCTCGGGCTAGAGTGTATAGTTTGGGACACGACATGTCAAGAATGGTGGAAGGAGAACTAGATAGAACTTGATCTTCTTACGCCTGCAAGTTCTTATGTTCTTAAGAAAAGAAAGAACATTTCTGATAAAAGTGTTCCTCAATGCTCTGACAAGGTCATTAAAGTGAGGACACGTTTGACAATGTCTCAGCAGATATCTCCCGATCTGAGTGGAATGAAACTCGTGAGAAAGTGTTTCAATTACTGGACAGATATAAGTAGTGCAATACCAAGTCTGCTCACTGCAAATAAAAGGAGTTCAACTACATTTCACCTCCAAAGCCACTTTCATTGTCTCGGAACCTCTGTGGAGTCTGGGTGTGCCGCTTGTTAAATGTGCTTTTTTCTAACACGAAATTAACTGAACAAACTGTTCCTATTCTGCTCTCAGAACCATGTCTGTCTCCTCTCACAAGGTGACACTGCGATACTCAGCCATGTCTTCAAGACGTCTCAGAGCACTTAAATGATAATAATCATATTAATACTTGCATTCAATGCCATGCCTGCAAACCTCAAAGCTCTTCGATGTTAGTTTCCGTCTGGTGTAGTGACTGTGCAC